CCAAACTACAACTAATTTTTTGTCGGGTGGTGGGGAGGATAGTAGGAATATTTGCTTGGATTAGGTGGGATATAATTTGCAGAAGTAGAGCAGGGGGAGGTCTAGGGGTTAGAAATGTGAAATGTTTTAACAAAGCTTTGTTGGGAAAGTGGAAGTGGATAGTATTAAAAGAAAAGGAGGTGTTGTGTGGAGAGTCTCATTTGAACTTTACGGGGTACACGAAGGTAGGGAATGGGGAGGGTATTTGCAAAATGAGAGAGGTTCAATTTGGTGGAGGGACCTGTGGAAATTAGAAAGAGATCATTGCAATAATAATGGATGGTTAAGAGAAGGTTTTGGGAAGGTAGTAGGTGAGGGCAAGGATACTTTCTTCTGGGATGATGTATGGGTAGGGGAGGTGAGTTTGACAGGAAAATTCCCAAGATTTAATTCTATTTCCAGAAACAAAAATGGGAAGGTGTAGTAGAGTTAGGGGATTGGTGTGAGGGAGTGTGGGTATGGAATTGGGACTGGCGTTGGGAATTATTTGTTCGAGAGGCTAACTTGGTGCGGGATTTGGAAGATACATTGAGGTTGGTCAACATAAAAAAAGAAGAACCGGATTACTGGGCATGGAAATGGGACAGTATTGGTCTCTACACTGTCAGAACAGCTTATCATCAACTAACTCCTGCCCAGCAGACTCAATCGAACGGAGATTTCAATCTAATATGGAACCAACTTGTTCCATTGAAGGCTGCTGCACTGGCGTGGGGAGCATTTCATGATAGATTGCCAACAAAAAATAATCTGGCCAGGAGGGGTTTCATCAAGGATAGTGGAGAGAGCAAATGCAGTAAATGCTCAGAAAAAGAGGAAAATTTAAATCATTTGTCTTTTGAATGCATGCAATCTTGGAAGGCGTGGGCTTCATGTTACTCATGGTGGGGGATTTCTTCTGTCTCTATTCAGGATGTCAAGGAGCATTTCAAAAAACACGCTGCAGGTTTAATGGGCAGCAAAAAACTCACAGGGGCATTAATTGATGGTGATTTGGTATGCAGTGATATGGTATCTATGGCTTCAAAGGAATCAAGCTAATTTTAGCAATGAACAAGTTAAGGAGGAGGAGCTTGTGGAACTGGTAAAGTACAGGTCATTTTATTGGTTACAGGCAAACTTGGTACCCGACTTGTTATTTGAGCTATGGAAATCTGACCCAAGGGGAGCTTTGAAACGATTTAAATTTTAATTCTGATTCACTTGTGGGGTAATTGGTAAGAATGTGATTGCGAGTGAATTTATAAGAATATAAATAGGTTTAAGTATCTTTTAAATACATAGGAATAGAAGTTTTTGATTTATAAAAAAAAAAAAATTTGTATAAAAATTATTTATGTATCATTTCTCTTATATAACACTTTGCTTCTTCCATATTATTTTGAATAATTTCATTTTTCTTGAGGCACGATTTAAATTTCAAATAAAGTCAATTTTTATGTTTTGATTTAGTGGTTTAAATCTTAAATTAGTATAAATCACTTTTCATAAATTAGGTATTCAAATATTATAAAACCTTTCTTTCAATTTTCATTTTCTTAATATATATATTTTTAATAGATTACACCCTAATTAATCAAAGGGTCAATAAATACATTTCAATTTTAATGTGAGTTAAAGTCATCCAATCACGAGATTTAAGTATCATTTTTTTTAAAAGATGTGTATTTCTTTTCGTTTCAATTTTTTTTTTTTTCTAAACAAAGTCATTCATCTCATGTTTCTACCTTTACCCTGTTCAAAATTTGAAAACAGGGCAAGTATTTGCATGGAGTACTAAATAAATAATCCATTTAATCTGGGTCCTTGACGCGTGTCCAACCAGTCCAGCGAGTTTCCAATTAACAAAAGACCAACGAGACTAGGTGTCCTTTTTTTTTTTTTTCCCATTTCAACCCCATTCATTCAAAATGGTTTGGTGGATCTTTCTATTTATCCTTCAAAACAATTTCCTCATCTTTTCAACCTCAGAAAAATTAATCAGCTAAAAACACTCACATTTCTGATTCCACGGCAATGGACAGAGCCACGCCGGTGAGAAAGCCTCACACCTCCACAGCCGATCTCCTCACCTGGTCCGAGACCCCTCCCTCCGCCTCACCCGCCTCCGCCCCTCGCTCTTCCGCCCGCTCTCAGAAGGTTCCGTACATGCACAGTTTATCACTCTGCTTCTACATAATGTAGTTCTGATTATCTGACACACTGGGAATTTTTCTGCATTTTCAGCCTTCTGATAAAATCAGCAAAGTGGTGTTTGGAGGTCAGGTCACTGAGGAGGAAGCTGAGTCTCTCAATAAGAAGTAAAGATCTCCTTCTATTTTTAGCTTCTTTTTCATGAAAAAGTTGCTTCCTTGAGTGAAGATTGTAATCTTTCCCGTTTCTCTGAAACCAATAGAGTTTTTTTTGCCTTTGTTTTAGTGTGAAATGTGGAATCAGATCTACTACTGCAGTTCTGTTTTTTGGTTTGTTCCTTGAATCTGCATTTGATTTGGTGTCTGATCTGTATCAGGTTGCTCACTTTAATGGCTTAATTAGCTCAGAATGCAAATATTAAAGTCAGCCCTGATTAAGGGGAAAAAAAAAAAGAAAAGAAACTTTTGATCTGTTTTCAAATTTTTGATTGGTAAGGTCATCTATTTTAGATCTGTTTTAAACATTTTGGAACGATTCTATTTCTTACCTCTTTATTTTTTGGCAAGCAGTTGTTCTGTTTCTTAAGGTTTATCATATTTCTGATTTTTTGGCTAAAGAGGCTGGTTCTCTCTTTTGGGTGTTCTATCTCTTTGTTTATTATGGCCAAAAAAAAAAAATTTATTTGTTTATTCATTCTTTCAGCCAGTTTCACTACATAAAAACCAACTTTTTCTTTCTAGAAAAGCATGTTTGGCTGACCACAAGGATGAAAAAGTTTGGCTTTTGGTTATTGTTAATTTTTTTATTTTTGGTATTGTGAGTGCTTAATACTTTCTAGTTATGGGTCATTTGAGATTCTACATGCTCTCTAAAGCAATCATGTCTACGTTGTATGGAAGCTTATGAGCAAATTTCTGTTCTAATGATGCCGGGATTAATCTCAGTGCTAGATGTCTTTTCTGTGCTACTTTTTATGAATTGTAGTTTTTTATGTTAGGTGAGAAAGCCAAAGGTCTTGACTGGATATTGAAAAGGAAAGCTCACCCTTGCTGTTTTCTGTTTAGTGGTTGATGTTATTTTACAATGTCTGGTGCTGGTATAGAGAGCATGTGTTTCGCTTAAGTTCTAACTACTTATATCTTGTTCTGAGTGATAGAAAATTTGACTGCAGTCTTTGATGGTCAAGCCCTTGTGTAATTGCTCAGAATCTGACATTCGTAATTTTTGTTTGCCTTTAATATGGTTTGTTACTGATTTTCCCATGTGGAAACATATGAGCCATGTTTTGAGTTTCTACAATTTTGGCATTCACAGATTGTTTGAACGGGGCATTTCCTTGAGTTGATTGGACGTGTGTCCTGTCAAATTAAGTTCATTTTCCTTACCTGATGTGTTGCATGTTGAAAGTGAATGAAATGTTGAGCTGACAACTATTTGAAGGTCTGGGGTTTTCAGGCTGAAACAATCTATGATTGGATAGAAAAAACAAAGCTAGTATACCTTAAAAACCATGTTGAAGACCCTTAAAATTCGTTTGAAACTTCAGATGAGATCACTTATCAAACACCATGTAAAATGCTTCCAAAGTTTTCACTAGTTCTCATTTGTATTGAGGCATTGAGCTAGTTCAAATAGCATATTCACCACAGGGCCCCATGGCCATTTTGGACCTCTTATGCCATCATATTTCTAAGTCCATCCCAATTTTTCTGCATGCTATTCAGGAAACCTTGTTCAGGGAACAAATTAAAGGAGATGACTGGCAGTGGCATTTTTGTAGCCAATGGTGCTAATGGCACATCTGAACTTGATTCTGCTAATCCAACTAACAAAACAGGGTTGCGCATGTACCAGGTAATCATTAGATCTCTCTTGATAACAGTGCAAAATGAGCCAGTTTATCCATCAGTTGTCCAAGATGGAAAATCTTTTTACTTTTTGTTTATGAATTTTCAGCAAGCAATGAATGGGATTAGTCAAATATCATTCAGTGCTGATGGGAGTGTCTCTCCTAAGAAGCCTACCTCTCTCCCAGAGGTTGCAAAGCAGCGAGAGTTAAGTGGGACATTGCAGACTGAATCAGACTTGAAGAATAAGAAGCAGATATCAAATGCAAAGTTCAAGGAGATAAGCGGACATGACATCTTTGGCCCTCCTCCAGAAACTCAGCCTCGGTCATTGGCTGCTGCACGCTCCCAAGAATCAAGGGATAGCAAAGATATGGGAGAACCTGCACCTCGAAATGTGCGTACTTCTGTCAAAGTTTCAAATGTAAGTAAACTTCCTTAGTGTGCAACACTTATTTTTGATGTTTAATTCAATTTTCCAATTTAATCTCCTATACCATGTCACATTGCTGTCCTTTGTTTGGGTCAGTTGAACTCTCTCACAACTGGATTATTTCCATGTGGTGTTTTCTTTTGCAAGTTTTGCTGGATGCAAAACTACCCTCAACTGCTCTGGCTTCCCCCCTCCCCCATGCCGCTTTCATTTGTTCTCCAATCACCAATTTCTTGAACTCAAAAATGCATGTCCTTGTATGAGTCATATAAGCTGCACATAAACATTTTGCTTTTGATTGATATAGCCTGCTGGGGGTCAGACAAGTATCCTCTTCAGTGAAGAACCTGTTGTCAAGACATCAAAGAAGATACACAACCAAAAATTTCAAGAGCTGACCGGCAATGACATCTTCAAAGGAGACGTTCCTCCAGGTTCTGCAGAAAAGTCTCTGAGCACAGCTAAACTGAGAGAAATGAGCGGCAATGATATCTTTGCTGATGGGAAGGCAGAATCCAGAGATTATTTTGGTGGTGTCCGCAAGCCCCCTGGTGGTGAGAGCAGCATTGCCTTGATTTAACTTGGTAATGCATAACCAGCACTGTTTCTTCCTGCACATTGAAGTCTGGGTGATTTGACGTGATGGACCGTTGATGCCTGATGCTATCAGAGGTGGGCATTGCTGTAGCGTTAGTTGGATCTGGCATATGTATACCTTTCTAGATTTAACATTAGGATAAAAGAACTACATTGGCTAATTGAGTTCTTACAAACGATGTTATGGTTTTCAGTACCGTTTGTGTTGTGTGCTCCCTGGACCAGCTTTGCTTCATGCTGTTGTACTAATAAAGGCTGTTGTCCCACTACTATATGCTTGATTGCGTATTTGCATTCCTAAAGGTAGCCACCTTCAAACTTTTGCACCAAACTTGATTTAAGTTGGGAATGCTTATTTCTTACGAAAATTTATAATTTTTTTACTAAAATTAGTTGATTATTAAGAAACGGTTATTATCACCTACCCATTAAAGTGGAGTAAATTGACATAAATT